CTGAATAACACGCACTGTAAACCGGTTACTGTGCAATGTATAGCTGAGCATTGCATTGTAACCAATGTACCCTGTTTACTGTGCATTTCTCACAGCATAGTTCAAATTGCATACTGCACAGTCTATGACATACAAGAGTAAGGTCCGCTGTACCTACGATGGACGTCTCTTGAGGTGAGGAGATACGTATTACATCCAATAACAACTGATCCTGATCTAATGTTTACGTGTACCGCACTTCGAGGTTTAACTTGTACCTGCACCTCTAAATGTTGTTCGTGAACGATAACCTGACCCCAGCATAACTACAGGGTGTCACCAGGGCGGGTTGTTCTCGGCCAGGAGTGTAACACATAATGCAGGGCGACCTACTCGTATTATGTTAAAACAGTCTCCATTGACAACACTGCTGCTGCCTCCACTTCACGTGTGGGTGTGTTGCTTAGTAGCCACGCACGAAGGTACACAGACAGGCACAAAGGCACCCAGCCAAGCAGAAAGGCAGACAGGCAAGCAGCCAAGTAGAAAGGCAGACAGGCAGGCAAGGCGAGAACCGACAGCGGAAAGTCGAAAACGGAGACATGCTGACAACTAAAACCAGCACTGGTTGTGGAGGGTCGAGGTGAAGCTCTGGGGAGGGGGGGTGTGAAGGGTGGTATGTTTACGACCAGAGAGGGGGAGGTTTAGGGGGGTGTCTGGAGGCCATGGTTGGCGCCACCAACACCGACTTCTCTCCCTCCCTCTCATGCCACAGTACCCGTGACAGAGAGAGAGACGATGTGAGAGAGAGAGAGAGAGAGAGGGCCGGAAGCTACTAAAGGTAAGCTTCAGGTAAGGTATGACATTACACTGTTACTCGAGTCATCCTGAATTGAGGAGGAGAAGATGAGGAAGAGGAGGAGGAAGAGGATGAACCTGCCTGTCATGGCTGGTAATGATAGTCTCGACAAGCGAATAACTTCTCCATTACCTGCAGTTTACACTCTCGCACCTCTGCTGTACTCGGCACCTCTGCTGTACTCGGCACCTCTGTTGTACTCGGCACCTCTGTTGTACTCGGCACCTCTGTTGTACTCGGCACCTCTGTTGTACTCGGCACCTCTGTTGTACTCGGCACCTCTATTTGTGCTCAGCTTTTACTCTGTTGTACTCGGCACCTCTGCTGTACTCGGCACCTCTGTTGTACTCGGCACCTCTGTTGTACTCGGCACCTCTGTTGTACTCGGCACCTCTGTTGTACTCGGCACCTCTGTTGTACTCGGCACTCAGGGAAACAAGCTTGTGGTGCCTTTGTTGACTTACTGTTTACTCTTGTTTGTATACCTGTATTGTCTACGTACAAACTGAATCGCCGTGAACTTGTACGATGATTATACTGAATATCTATCTATCTATATATCTATCTATCGCTGCACCGGGTACCCTGCGACACACAGCTATGCCCACAATCCTTGCTCCCCCTCTCACCTCTTCCTCCCCCTCTCACCTCTTGCTCCCCCTCCCTCTTCCTCCCCTCCCTCTTCCTCCCCTCCCCTCTTCTCCCCTCTCACCTCTTCCTCCCCCTCCCCTCTTCCTCCCCTCTCCCCTCCCCTCCCCCTCTACCCCTCTTCCTCCCCCCTCTCCCCTCTTCCCTGTCCCCTCTCACCTCTTCTCCCCCTCCCCTCACCTCTTCACTCCCCCCCTCCTCCCCTCTCACCTCTTCCTCCCACCTCTTCCCTCCCCCCTCTCCCCTCTTCCTCCCCCCCCTCCACCTCTTCCTCCCCTCCCCTCTTCCTCCCCCTCACCTCTTCCTCCCCTCTCACCTCTTCCTCCCCCCCTCTCCCTCTTCCTCCCCCCCTCTCACCTCTTGCTCCCCCTCCCCACCTCTTCCTCCCCTCCCACCTCTTCCTCCCCCCTCTCCCCCCTCTTCCCTCCCCCTCTCCCACCTCTTCCTCCCCCCTCCCACCTCTTTCCTCCCCCTCTCACCTCTTCCTCCCCCCCTCTCCCACCTCTTCCTCCCCCCCCTCTCCCACCCTCTTCCCTCCCCCCTCCCCTCCCACCTCTTCTCTCCCCTCTACCTCTTCCTCCCCTCTCCCTCTTCCCCTCCCCACCTCTTCCTCCCCCTCTCACCTCTTCCTCCCCACCTTGCCTCCCCTCTCACCCCTCTTCCTCCCCCCCTCTCACCTCTTCCTCCCCCTCTCTGCCTCTTCCTCCCCCTCTCACCTCTTCCTCCCCTCTCACCTCTTCCTCCCCCCTCTCCCCTCTTCCTCCCCCTCTCACCTCTTCCCTCCCCTACCCCCCACACCACCCCGCCCCCCACCTACTGGGGTTCTGGTCGACGTTCAGCTAAGCTTATAAAGCAGGGCCATGCAGGCTCCCCATCCAGCACAAACTCCCAGCATTCTCACTGACCCCAGCCAGCCAGACAGCCAGCCAGCCAGCCAGCCAGCACCTCAAACCTAACCCTAAAATATTTCTTCCCTCGTTCTCCAGCCAACACCCTTTCCCTCCCTCTCTCTCTCTCTCTCCTTTCCTTCAATCTCTCCATTCACTCCTCCCCTCCCATCTTTCCCTCTTGTTCATTCATTCCTCCCTTTCCTCTACCAAACCCTCCCTCCCTTTCCCTCTCACCCATTACCAAACAAAGTCTGCCTGCCACCAACGCAACGAAAAAAAATAATAATACGAACAAAAAACAAACATTCATTCTTTCATTTTTTTTTTTTTTAAGTTTCATATAAATTTCCATGTGTGTTCTGGAGAGAGAGAGAGAGAGAGAGAGAGAGAGAGAGAGAGAGAGAGAGAGAGAGAGAGAGAGAGCAATAAACTGTACTCCAGGATTTGTCAATAAATTTGTTAAACTAATTAAAAATCACAGATAATTTTTCAATACATTACCTAAACACCACACAACACCCAGGATTATAATCACACACACACACACACACACACACACACACACACACACACAGTAGAGTATCAACAACACAGTGTTTGGGGTTCACAATATACACACACACGCCCAGGTGATGGAGGCCACAGGGTGAGGTAAGCCAGGCCAGTACAGGTGTTCCGTGCTCTTGGACACTCCACACGTGTATACACTTACCACTCTGAACACCTGTCGAGTGACTAATTTCATCTTTACTTTATTCTGATCATGACATTTGGTATATACTGCATATGTATTTTTTCTATGCTAACTTACGGTGAACTACTACTACTACTACTACTAAAATGACAACTAAAATGACTACTACTACGACTACAATAACCACTACTACTACTACAATAACACCTACCACTACTTCTACAATACGTACTACTACTAAAATTATTAGTACTTCTACAATAACTACTACCACTACTACTATTAATAATACTAAAAAAACTAATCCCCAAATCTCAAAGGAATAATAATAATAAAAATAATATTAATAATAATAATAATAACCTGATCAACTATATTTTCTTTCTTTACTTTGTAGCTGACATGAGCACCTTAATAAACACATAATAATGATGATAACAAAACCGATAGTAACAATAATAATAATAGCCACTGTGATAATAATAGCAGCAAATAGCGAGCGACAAAACACACATCTCATCTCACATATTAACAGTAACACAAATAGCCGCCCTCAAGGGTAACACAGGCCAGAAACAGAGAGCTCCTAGTGACTGCCTGTTGACCTTCCACTCTGCCTTTGCCCTTGGCCCAACTCCTACTAAAATTCACACACTCCAAGTCAGGGTGTTGGACTATGTGTGTGTTAAGTTACACTCCTATCGGCCCTGTAGTTTCTGAGGTATTTTAGGTGAAACAAAATACATAAGCGAATACATGTGAATATGTATCCTTGCTTGCACTCATACATACATACATACGTGCATACATACATACATAAACAGCCATAATAACAGCTTCTACTTCTTCAGCGTTGGTAACAGAATGTACAGTCATTTATCAACTATCAAAAATTATATAGAAGTCAATAAACACAAAGGAGGAGAGGGCGAGAGAGAGGAGGGGGGGGGAGGGAGAGACCGTGAATAATACAGGTAAAGCATGTATGGTAATTATGGCACCACACACCTGGGTCAGATATCTAGATAAGAACATAAGAAAATAAGGAGTCTGCAATAGGCATGTTGACCTGTGCATGGCAGCTCCTGTCGAGAGTTACTACCACTCTCTATCATCCATGAATCTATCTAGCCTCCTTTTTAAGACTTTCCAGCGTTCCAGCACTTACTACAAAATTGCTAAGCTTGTTCCACTCGTCCACCACCCTATTTGTGAACCAGGGAAAACACATGTGAATTGAAGCTTCATATACCTGGCCATTTAATTAGACACACACACCTGGCTAAAGGATGAAAGGACAAGTAATCAAGACCATATACGTGGTCATTTAACTAAACACACACCTGGCCAGAGGATGAAAACACAAGTAATTAAGACCACATACCTGTCCATTTAACTGGACACACACCTGACTAGCGGATGAAAGGACGAGTAATTAAGACCACATACCTGTCCATTTAACTAGACACACACCTGGCTGGTGGGTGAAAGCAGGGCAGGTAAACTGAAGCTCCACATAATCTAGATCAAGTATTTACAGAAACACCAGACTAGCGGTTCAAGCACAGGTAAATTAAGGCTTCGCATACCTAAGCCAGGTAACCCGAGGGACACCTGACTGGCGGGTGAAGACTGTAAAGGTGTCTCTGGTGTTTTGTTATACAGTGATACGATCCTGACCCCACCAGGTAATACGACCTATGTCACGTAAACAAAATATATGAGAGAGAGAGAGAGAGAGTTACACCCAAGAATTCGTTATATAATGTACACTGTAATGTGATTCTTATCGAGTCTATGGGTGAACACGTTGACAAATAATCAAGAATGGGGGTAAAACAAGGAGGGAGGACAGGGGGATGGGGAGGGAGGGAGGGATGGAAGGAGACTTGAAGCGTTGTGATTGGTCGGAGGGAGTGGCAGGGGTGAAGCGCGGGCCTGTGGGGGAACATCCGTATATAACCCGCTGGTGTTACGTAACTGGTCTGGTATAAAACGCCTGCTACAACCTCGCCTCCGGACACTTGAACGCTGCATTTCTTACTACGAGGGCCTCCGTGTGGCGACCATTCTCCAGCAGTGAGAGTGAGTGAGTGAGTTTTACCATCTGTGCTCGACGGATCAACCATCTGTGGGGAAGGAAGCGACTGTGTTATGGTGGACCATCTGTGGGGGGAGAAAAATAACCTTGTTCGGGCCACCTGGGAAAGGGGAGGGCCATGTTAACTGGACCATGTGAGGGGAGGGCCATGTTAACTGGACCATGTGGGGGGAGGGCCATGTTAACTGGACCATGTGAGGGGAGGTGATGTGAAGTTTATCTCTGTGAACCTTTGTGTTATGTTTGCCATCTGAGGGGAGATACTGTGAGAAGTTATCATGTGAGGGGAGAGTTAAGCTGGTCATCTGAGGGGAGTGTGGAGGTGTAATGTCGACCATTTTAGGGGAAGCAACCGTGTTCTGTGTTGGGGAGGGGGGGGGGTGATGGTGGTAGTAATGGTAGTAGTATGTATGCAGGGATATAAACAAGCACCTCCACATGACACCCCCTACCTTGAATTAATTAATGCCACGTGAAAACACCTTGTACAGGTGTTTACCATACGGTAGAACAATACACCTTAATAGATCATCGTAAAGAAAAACACAGATTCAGAAGTGACAGTAAAAGGGACACAACCAAACAGCAAAGATTTATAAGACACGAAAGAAACACAACAATAATAAGATGAGGCGACGTGATACCCGAGGAAAAGTGACCATGTGTTCCGCACCTCAGGTGACCCAAAACGGAGATACAAACAATAGATGACATCATACACAGGTAAACACCTAATGGGTGGGTGTGTGTGGCTACACCTAACAGTGACTAGTGAAGGACAAACAGTAGTTGTGGTGTGAGGTACAACGCGAGGACGTGAAGAACACGTGTTGTATCTTGGTGCTGTGACAATCAAGCAAGTCTACTGTGTGACTTGCCTGAGCTGGAAACAGAGCTCAGGGTGATGGAGGACGACTCCAAGTTCGAACGAATAGAAAACACCGTAGAAAATCTGAATACATAGTGTGTCAAGGAGCTACAGTTGAGTGAATCACACGAGAACAGTGAGTTATTTTGTTCTTGGTGTTAATCACGTCAGAGGAAAGGCATGGGCAAAATTATCCGGCTAATACTAGTTAATACTGCTGCAGGAACAACATCACCTTGTGATTTATATCGCAGTGTTTTCTGCTATTACTGTTCACGGTTTTAGACAATAACCTAAAACTGTATGTCCTGTACAGTACTTAACATCCAGGAAGAAGACAGACTCCAACGACTACGCAGCGAGCAGTAGTGTGTGTGTCGGGGGGAGGGGGGGGGGGTCAGTCTCAGACCTGCTACGCGGGGTTGACACACTACCCGACCTCCCTGACCCGCTGGTTTATACACACCGGGTTATTCTTACCTTCCCATAAATCACACATATGAGGGCCAAGGCTACACCGTCTACAACTAACTATATGAAGGGTAGAGCAAGAGCCCCGCCATCACACACACAGGTAGACTTGGGAGGAAGGGTCAGTCTTTGGGTGACAGCCACATGGATGAGATACGTGACCTGACGCACGTGTTCAACAGTGTTCATGACTGTCCTCGTACAGCAGCTGACTGACATGAAGCCACAAAAGATTCTGCTCGGCGGATTGGTGGAGGCATACCAGGTCGCCGCGTGGTAGGGGAGCTGGTGAGGGTTGGGGCGTAGAAGTAGGTGGCGGTGAGTGCAGGAATAGACAAACTATCTCCAGAGTCACGATGGCAGCGGGGCGCTTCCCTGGCACTTGGCACTACGACACGTGGTCATTCTGGCACTTCTCACTGCACCAACTATCTCTAGGGCATGTTGGGGGGGGGGGTGGCTCAAGACCTCGCCACGTCGGCATCCAACCAACCACCACCACACGGCACCAACTACCTCTAGGGCGTGTGTGTGACGTGACAAAAGAACTACGCCACGTAAGCCTCGCCGTCAACCACGCCACCACGAGGACCCCTGTGTCATCAACAGCTAAAATTATGCATGAGGTGATGGCGGAGAAGCCCAGAGGCTGACTCCCACTAGCTAGACGGACTGCCACGGCACCCAAATCCTCCTCCTTTTTTGTTTTTATTATTATTCTAAAACGTTTTCGGGCTGTGACATAACCCCCCTCCCCTCCCCCTCTCTCTGACGTTTACTGAGTCAGGTAACAGCGGACTGATAGAACAGGAGCCCGTACAGTAACACCCTGACGTAACGCGACTATGTTACCCGAAGTAAATAAACTCCAGTATTAGTATCTTCCAATTAACAAATATAATGGGGAAACTTAAAGTCCTTTGACGTGTAGGAAGAAACAAACATAATTAAAACCTCTTACGGCTCACCTGAGGTATCTCCACCCCGCGCTTATTTCACCTGATGATTGAACCACCCTAACACTACCTAGGGTGGGAGGGGGGAGGGTTAGGTTAGATTAGGTTAGTTAAACATCTCGAGACACACATTAACGATTACAATACACGCAGAGCCACCTGTTGTCACCCGCTGTTACTAATGCTGTTCCCGCGTTAATACTTTTTTTTATTATTCCACGCAACCCCTTTATGTATTCAGTTATCTCCCGCCACTAAAAAAACCCGTCTGTCGGTTACCCTCACCACCATACAAGGACAACTTTTACCACTCCCTGCCTCACCAGCCAGCCAGCTCTCTTACGTAACCTGACAGTGTTGCCAGGTCGAGGGAGGCACATGACCCTGGGCACAGCAACCAAGTGTTCCTGTGTCCTCCTGATGCCAGGTCACTGTATCGCTAACCCTCGACCCTGGCAGAGAGAAAGAGTACAGCAACGGCAAAAGTATATTAACAACAGCAGCAACAGGAGTATATCAAGAGCAGCAACAGGAGTACATCAACAGCAGCAACAGAAGTAAATCAACAAGAGGAACAGGAGTATATCACCCTAGTAGCCGCATCAGGACCAGCGTGTCACTCACAACAACAAGGCAAGAGGCAACAGAACAAGGAAGTGGAGTTGATGGTGTCAGCGGTCAGCCCATTGAAGCGTGAGGTGGCCCAGAGAGGGGTGGGGGGTTATGGACACACAAAAACAAGCACACACACACACAGGCCGGTGGGGTCAGCAACAAGTGCCGGCTCAAGTTAATCAAGACTTAAAGGCGCTTGGTTACTCGCCCCGGGGAGGAGCTTGCTGAGGGAGGCGTCGAAGGCGAAGGAGGAGGTGGTGGTGGTGGGTGAGGCAGAAAGAGGCGTTAGTGGTGGTAGATGGATGAGGGAGGAGGAGGAGCTGGTGGATGAGGGAGAAGGAGGTGGACGTGGGTGAGAGTAAAGGAGGTGGATGAAGGAGAAGATGAAGGAGAAAAAAAAGGCAATAGGTCATTCGGTCAGTCTCTCTCTCTCTCTCTCGTCCCCAACATAAATATTCAGGTGGTGGGTCAGACGATCGATACACTCTTCACCTCACACCAGTACATTCCTGCCTCTCTGCTGCCCTGTGAGACACGTGTAAACTACCCCACACACACACACCAGTTTATTTCACCTGATGATTGGATGAGAGTAGAGTGGGGTGATGGTTGGATGAGAGGAGAGAGGGAGTGGAGTGGTGGTTTGGGTGAGGGGGAGAGAGAGGAGAGGAAACCAAAAACATGTGAGAGGCTGGAGAATGGAAGGACGAGGAGGGAGGGAGGGCAGCTGGCAACGGTGGTGTATAAAAAGATGCATATTAATACACCTTACCACCGTGATCATCGACCCCCCTCCCATACACACACACACAAGATGTTATTATCAGGTCATTCATACCGAGCAGCAATACAGGTAGTGTGATGGGATGTCAGGTGTAGCGATTGAAAAAAAAAAATATAATGTTTTGTGTAGTCCATTGTCCGCTGTTAGATATTATTACAATGAAAACCTATAATAATAATAATAATAATAATAATAATAATAATAATAATAATAATAATAATAATAAAAATAAAAATAATAATGTCATAATTATAACTTCAATTTGAATTCCCAAACATTATTATGATCCAATTTATACTTGAACTAACCAATGTTGTTGTTGTTCACTCAGTATTATTGTGGGTAAACAAAGTGTCTCTTCTATGGACTAATGGCCGCTACTCCCTACAGGAACACAATGTCAGGACAGAGCACTAAGAGGGGCCAGGGGGCGTGGCTGTCCTTTGAGAACGGCCTCGACAACTACAAGGAGAGCCAGCTGAAGAAGGAGTGGTGGTACAATGTTACGGTGAGTTGGCCATCCTACCCATGTCAAGCACCATCCTACCCATGTCAAGCACCATCCTATCTATGTCAGTCATCATCCTACCCATGTCAGTCATCATCCTACCTATGTCAGTCATCATCCTACCTATGTCAGTCATCATCCTATCTATGTCAGTCATCATCCTATCTATGTCAGTCACCATCCTACCTATGTCAGTCATCATCCTACCTATGTCAGTCATCATCCTATCTATGTCAGTCATCATGTCAGTATCTATGTCAGTCATCATCCTACCTATCCTCATCCTATCTATGTCAGTCCTATTTAAGTCAGTCACCATCCTACCTACCTTAGTCACCACCTTACCTATGTCAGTCACCATCCTATCTATGTCAGTCACCATCCTATTTAAGTCAGTCACCATCCTACCTACCTTAGTCACCATCGCTGTGAAGTCATCCCATGTGTCTACAAGTTCACGTTATCCTTGTATATCATTATACCGCATGCAACTTGTATACAAAACTCACGCTATTTCTAGTCATATACACACCAGTGCGCCTATAATCATCACTATTCCTTTAATCATCACTACGCCTTTCGTCATCACTACGCCTTTAGTCATCACTACGCCTTTAGTCATCACTACGCCTTTAGTCATCACTACGCCTTTAGTCATCACTACGCCTTTAATCATCACTCCGCCTTTAATAATATCCCTTTGGTCCACATCTGCCTCTAACATAACACATCATCACAGCTGAGAGTCATACAATGTTTATTACACCGACGTGATGTTATCTGAATCATGGAGGAGGCAGGTGGCCACTGTGTTCCTGAATGGATTATAATACTATTAGCGTAGCGTTAAGTGCTTGCATACGAGATGAAATTCATATGTGATAAAAGTAACTGGTGTATAATATCTATCTAGCTATCTAAAGTTATTAGATGTGGTATACAGTAATTGAGTGTTTGTGTTTATGTGACGTAATTGAATGTTTGCTTATGTGACGTAATTGGGTGTTTGTGTGTGTTTATGTGACGTAATTGAGTGTTTGTGTGTGTGTTTATGTGACGTAATTGAGTGTTTGTGTGTGTGTGTGTTTATGTGACGTAATTCAATGATGAAATGTATCAACACTAGACTTAATGTATAGCCTAAAGAAATGAGTGCGTGATATTCTTAGACTAGGCAGAGATAAAACACGCACGAGAGCTTGGCAGAGGTTGTGGTGAGGAGGAGCTAATGTTTATGTCCCCCCACAGCCAGAGAACCCACACCTGTCACGGCGGCAGAAGCGGCGTTTCAAGCATGAGCTAAAGGAGAAGAACGCCGGCAAGGTCCTACAGGCCAAGATAGAAAAGCAAGGCAGGAAGGATTCTAAAAAGCCCCAGCAGCCAGCCGAACCCAAACCCAAGCCAGCAGAGAAACCCAAGAAACCCGCAGTGAAGCCAGAACCAGCCACGGCACCATCTCCTACAGAACCTACCCCGGCAGCTGAAAAAACTACAGCAGTCAAACCACAGAAGGAGAAGCCCGCGAGAAACAAGCAGAAAACATCCGAATCCGAGAAGGAAGTCCCCGTAGCAGCCCCCAAGCCCAAACCCGACATTGTGACGCCGCCCGCCAAGAAAACACCGACGGCACCAACACCCGCCCCTAAGGAAGCACCCGCGCCTCTACCTGTTAAACCGGAACCAGTAAAGGAGGAAATCAAACCGGAACCAGTAAAGGAAGAAGTCAAACCTGAACCAAAGAAAGAAGATGTTAAGGAAGAGAAGAAGCCAGAACCAGCCAAGGTAGAAGTCAAACCAGAAGCAGCCAAGGTAGAAGCCAAACCAGAGCCAGTCAAGGAAGAAGCCAAACCAGAACCAGCCAAGGTAGAAGCCAAACCAGAACCAGCCAAGGTAGAAGCCAAACCAGAGCCAGTCAAGGAAGAAGCCAAACCAGAACCAGCCAAGGTAGAAGCCAGAACCAGCCCAAACCAGAAGCCAAGGAAGAAACCAAACCAGAACCAGCAAGGTAGAAAAACCAGAACCCGTAAGGGAAGAAGAACCAGTCCAGTAAAGGAGGAAGCCAAACCAGAACCAGTAGGAGCCAAACCAGAACCAGTCAAGGAAGCCAAACCAGAACCAGCCAAGGTTGAAGTCAGAACCGCCAAACCCCAGAAGCCGCACCAGTACCAGCCAGGTAGAAGCCAACCAGAACCAGTAAAGGAAGCCGCACCAGTACCAGCCAAGGTAGAAGCCAAACCGAACCAGCCAAGGTTGAAGCCACACCAGAACCAGCCAAGGTAAAGCCAAACCAGAACCAGTAAAGGAAGCCGCACCAGTACCAGCCAAGCCAAACCAGAACCAGTAAAGGAAGCCGCACCAGTACCAGCCAAAGAAGCCAAACCAGAACCAGCCAAGGTGGAAGCCACACCAGAACCAGCCAAGGTAGAAGCCAAACCAGAACCAGTAAAGGAAGCCGCACCAGTACCAGCCAAGGTAGAAGCCAAACCAGAACCAGCCAAGGTAGAAGTCACACCAGAACCAGTAAAGGAAGCCGCACCAGTACCAGCCAAGGTAGAAGCCAAACCAGAACCAGCCAAGGTAGAAGTCAAACCAGAAGTCACACCACCACAACAGGCAGCCACTGAAGCGCCAGCGGCACCCAAGCCCGAAGCTGTAAGTAAACCCGAAGCCAAGCCTGATGCAGCTGTTCTAGTGGCACCATTACCTGGTCTTGCACCCGTGCCCGAGCCCTCCCCAGCAGCCACAGCACCGACGATAGCACAGGGCTTCATGCCAGCCCTCGACCCAGCCCTAGCACCAGCAGTTGGAGGCCCCAAACCATCACCAGCACCTCGCTTTGCATCAACATTCGTACCTCCTCTTGGGCCTGCTCTGGCCTCCACCTTACCGCCAGCTCCTGCTCCCGAACAAGAACAAAAGGCTCCTTCATCACCTACATTGATGAACTTGAGAGTGCAGGTCGCCCCCTCTGCCACACAGCCTGCAGCGCCTGCCTCCCAGCCTGCACCTGCCCAAGTTCCCGAACCAAAACTTCCTTCATTCCCCGGTTTTGGCCCAGCGCCCCAGACTACTCCAAGTTTAAGTCAAGGGTTCATGCCCAGCCTTGCATCAAGCATGGCACCTGCTGTGGGTACTACCCCTGTGGCAGCACCTCCGATGGGACCAGCTCTCTCCCCCGCCCTAGGCACAGCGATGGGACCAGTTCTATCACATGGTCCAATTGACCCCTTCACAACAGGAGCTCCCGCCCCTCCTCCAGTCAGCTTTAGCCCACAGGGTCCACCTCCTCCAGTCAGCTTTAGCCCACAGGGTCCACCTCCTCCAGTCAGCTTTAGCCCACAGGGTCCACCTCCTCCAGTCAGCTTTAGCCCTCAGGGTCCACCTCCTTCAGTCAGCTTTAGCCCTCAGGGTCCACCTCCTTCAGTCAGCTTTAGCCCTCAAGGTCCACCTCCTCCATTTAGCTTTAGCCCAAAAGGTCCAGCACCAGCTGCTCCAATGAGTGTTAGTCCAATTAAACAAAATGGCGCTTCACTCAGCTTTAGCCCAAAGAGTCCCTCAGGTGTTCCCCCTAAGGAACAGACAAACGACTCTATGCCCTCGTTTGCCACGCCCCCTCCCCTCGCCCCCCTTCCCACCTTCCTCACACAAGGAGACGACGACGGTATCATCCCCCTGATGGAGGAGGCCATGGAGGCACCGGGTCTCTCCGATGACGACTTCGACCTCCCGAAGGAATCTAAGGGACCTATATTTGACGTCAAAGCTCAGCAAAACGGCCAAGTAAAGAACTGAAGGTGTGAGGCTCCAGCACCACCTGCTCGGGGGTCACAGTGCTAATGAAAATATCAGAAATATAATTGATTTATTTCTACAGACTTTGTATGAACAAAAAAAATTACTTCATAAATGATTTGTGCCTAAGTACAAACAGTCCACTTTCCTTTCGGCATTCCTGGCTGAGAAAATTACAGTTACATTTGTTAGATGAAATTTGTTAATAAAATATTATAATATGATGTCTGTTTTAATGAACCATCTTGTCTCCCTTCATGAGTAATTCAGAGTGAGGTCGTTGGAACCAGGGCAAACATTCCTAGAAGGTGACCGGTTAGTTTCACCCGGGGGATATGTGAGAATGCATGCATCTGACTCCCTCACTCACAGCTACTACACACCACACTGACTCAACTATAACTACATTTTCTCTCCTGCCTCTAAAGAAAAAAAAAAAAAACGTGTGAATCTTGAAAGGTCGGGGTCAGAACAGCCAGGTGCATCAAAAGAGGGACAGCTAATTGTGTACCTGGCGACGCTCTGTCTGCACGAAAACACGTATTGACCCATTCACACCTGCCTGCCCACCTGGCTCACTGATATAGTCTCGTCTGCTGGAGCCACAGTGCCACACAATACCACTTGAAAGGAATCAAATAATCTGAATACAGCTGACGAATAATCTCTGAATACAGCTGCCTCTGTACTAAATAGTGCCACTACAAGAGTCGGGAAGTTGGATTTACCTGTAGCTGCACTGTCACTCTTCAGGGTATAAAAAGTCCCAGAATTTAAGTTATGGTTCCTGCCTCTCAACAACAATGTATAGAGTAACAAACTTCTTCTGAAATAACTTAGTAAGAAATACCTTAGGCAGACTGTGAGGGTGACCATAAGAGTGTAGAGTATCTGAGGTGACTATTGTGAGTGTTGAGGAGGACACAGTTGAACCAGAACCTTGAGCCTGTGATGACTTCCTGCACTTAATACGAGTTCATGTTCTTTAGCTGTGGTCAAGCTCACACTGTTCACCACCAATCAAAACACACAATCATAAAATCAGTGTGTGTGTGTGGTAATACATGAACAGGTGTATAGATTCGAGTACAGATACATATTAAAGTACACGTAAAGTACAGACACACACACAAATACAAAGATACAGTAATGGGTACGAGAAAACAGTACATCACACTTACATACAGTACTGTAATCTCCACGCTATACTGACATACGCTTTTACTTCCAACACTATTACTGTTATAATTATCAATATTAATGGTACTACTAATAGTATGAGTACTTTTACCATTACTATTATTTACTACACTGCTCTCGCCTCTTGTTTTTTTTTTAATTCCCTTCTTTCTATTAACTTTTCCTTCCTTGTTATTCCCACCTTCATTGAACACGTTGCTGAAACTCTCTTATTCCTACTGCTTGAAGCTCTGGACTAGTTGAGTGAGGGAACAATTCTCTCTATCTCTCTATGTGTGTGTGTGTGTGTGTGTGTGTGTTGTAGCAACCGCCAAGACAGCGACTAGTGGTGGTGGTGGTGAGGGAGTAACCTTGGAATTAACAGTGGACGAACTGCCCCATGACTGTCTCACCACACTATGTATACACCGGCCCATGTATGCACCACTATGTATACACCAGGCCATGTATGCACCACTATGTATACACCAGGCCATGTATGCACCACTATGTATACACCAGGCCATGTATGCACCACTATGTATACGCCAGCCCATGTATGCACCACTAGGTATACACCAGCCCATGTACGCACCACTATATATACACCAGGCCATGTATACACCACTATGTATATAAAAAACAATCCATGTATACATCAAGCTATATAATACACCCGCCCATGTACACCTCAGCTTCTATTACCTGAAGATTAGACACCCCAGCTTATTTTACCTGAATGTTAACCACCCTGACGCTATCCGAACTTAACCCCACCAGGTAACGTTGCAGTTAATGATCTTCAGGTGATATAAACCGGGGTGTCTAATGTTCAGGTGATATAAACCGGGGTGTCTAATCTTCAGGTGATATAAACCGGGGTGTCTAATCTTCAGGTAATATAAACCGGGGTGTCTAATCTTCAGGTGATATAAACCGGGGTGTCTAATCTTCAGGTAATATAAACCGGGGTGTCTAATCTTCAGGTAATATAAACCGGGGTGTCTAATCTTCAGGAGACCCTAAGAATTTTTGTTTGTATCTTTCTATACCTAATAGTTGTTTATTTTATAACTTTTCTGTTTTATTTATTTATTTTATTTGTCGAGAGAAACACATACCTGATCTTAGAGTTAGGTTAGGTTACGCTGAGTTGGGTTAGGTTAGGTTACGCTGAGTTGGGTTAGGTTAGGTTAGCGTGGTTAATCATTAGGTGAAATAAACTAGGGTGGAGATCTGTCAAGCTATTCATATACAGTAATTTTTCCCCCTAATGAACGCGTCTGTGCACTGGGATACACAAGCATACCCAACCATTCCGTTTTCTCTGATGACCACATTATAAATTTTCACGATAACTTATATAAATCACTTAACTTTACAAAACGTTTCATTCAATTTTCTCTACTCGGTTCTTATTTTTGTCGGTTTATCATTATGTAGTTTATTGATAGTACACAAGACCTATAAATTAAATAAAGGGTAAAAATCGGATATTGTATAAATGACTTTTCCATTTAAGGTTCAACAGGGGAACAAATAGATGGGAATACTGACAATATCTAAACGGGAAGATAAGCAATATTGGTGTGTGTGTGTGGATGTGGATGTGGATGTGGATAGTGTATGCCTGTGGGTAGTGTGTATAGAAGGTGTATGTTTGCTTCATGTCCCTGAGTGTATGCGTGTTCGTTATGTGCTTATGTGTATGTTCCTGTGTTCGTTTCTATGCGTCCGGGTGTGTGTGTGTGTGTGTGTGTGTGTGTGCGTGTGTGTGTGTGTGTGTGTGTGCGTGTGTGTGTGTGTGTGCGTGTGTGTGTGTGCGTGTGTGTGTGTGTGTGTGTGTGTGCGTGTGTGTGTGTGTGTGTGTGTGTGTGTGTGCGTGTGTGTGTGTGTGTGTGCGTGTGTGTGTGTGTGTGTGTGTGTGTGTGTGTGTGTGTGTGTGTGTGCGTGTGTGTGTGTGTGTGTGTGCGTGTGTGTGTGTGTGTGTGTGTGTGTGTGTGTGTGCGTGTGTGTGTGTGTGCGTGTGTGTGTGTGTGTGTGTGTGTGTGTGTGTGTGTGTTTTTACCTGAGTGTTGGAGGCGGAGGGTGAAGTATTTTCTTTGTGAGCTCAACTCTTCTTGGCAGTGTCCCGAATTCCTACAGATTTTTTTTCCCTTGCTCCTCTTCGACTGTTATAAGACTGCTGGAGATTCCTGTTTGACGTTCATTCTTTACGACAACAACCAAGCGATGTGTAATATTGTCAGCTGAGTCTTAAAGTGTGTCTGTGTGTGTGTGTGTGTGTGTGTGCTGATGCCGTTTGCGCCACCATAAACACATTACTGTACCTTTAACTTTACCATTACATAAACCAGTACCTGAAACCTTAGACTCTTCAGGAACTACCTTTAATACAGTCACCATATTCTGAAATTACTGTAACTATGCCCGAAGGTGTACTTAAAATAGTGACATTTCAGACACTAACTCTTCACCACTGTTAAGGCACCGTCTTTATGAGTCACCCTACAGAAAATACCACACCAGTTCTTCATAAAGAAACCCCCATTTGTATTAGTGTTTAAGAATACATATAACCGCCGCCTTTTTTGTCACTGTATTGATATTTGAAAGTTTATTTAGCCCCCAAAAATAGATACAGTCGATAATAATAACAATATTGACATGGCTGATGCCCATTGAGAGCCTGAGCTCTCTTGAATCTAAATTTGGACTGATAATATTGGCAAAACTTATTTTACTGTGACTTTGAAGGCAGGGAAGGAGAGAGGGACGGTGGACTGTGGAATTTCCTTCCAGTGGGCAACACGCGGTGTGGTGAGGAGGGGGGTAGGAACCTCGCCCCCTCCTCACCACACCTGGCTACTCCCATCACCATTACACCGTCTACACCCACTCATATACACATTAAACCCAGCCATTAACCCTGTACGACACTTCTGCTTCCAAATTAAACCTATTCTAAATACAGACTCGTTCCAAAACTTCCAGGGAGCGTCTTCGTATTTCAAGATGTTGATAAATTCCTGAGTGGCAACTCCAGCTACCACAAAATAATACCGGTTAGTATATTTTGTATATAGAAGTTGTTTTAGTAATATACATAAAAATACGATTTATTACATACAAGACGTAAAATCACAATACACATCGATCATAATGTGTTTTTAAGTTATATAAAATACTCGCAATGAACTACATAGCGAGAAGTAACATGATGCACAGAATGGCGGCGTCTGGCACTAGTACCCGGCGTGCAACTGTTCACGACTAATAAACATATTTAAACAAAAATCTGTTGAAGCAGAGCAGACTACAACGTCTGTGTAACTTGGTCTACACATCCTTTCATCAAACACGCCAGAAATTAATACACAGATTGCCCACGGAGTCTGACGTACTCAAGACTGAGGGAGAGCCCAATATCGTCTGTAGCTTGTTGTTCGTAAATTAATTAAAACGAAAAAAAATAAATACACCATCGGCTATCAACCGGAGTGATCACACGACATCTTCCCCTCCCGAGAAAGAGATGGGATTCCTTTCAGTGTAGAGCCTAACGTCAGGGTGGACGAGTGGCTGACAGAAAGCAATAACTGGCACCCTCCTTCCTCTTGGGAGTCACTCGCCGGTCCCGGGGAGGGTAGAGGCGGCTGTAGGCCTAAACCACAACTCTTAATAATGAGAAAATCGTCCTATATAACCCCACGTATCAAAGAAGCTTATTTACTATGGAAGACTTGGTTCATAACATAAGTAAAAAAAAGACTTAATTTATAAGGTTGTCGTAATGGAGGGTTGAGAGCGTGGCAGAAAGTCTTGTCTCAAAATACCCGCCGGTCTCGGTAAGTCTGCCACACACCGCCACCAAACACAACCCGTCAACATTACCACACATAACAAGATCTTCCGATGTGGCGTTGTGGCTTAGTCTATGAAGGAAAATTACAAAGGGGTGAATTCAACAGCTGTCATTATACTAACACGAAAATTTAGTCCCTCGAGTTTTATAAAATTAGATAAACCGTCGACTTGATCATGG